CCTGACAGAGTAAGTTCGCATAGCACGTTACTCCACACCTACTAAAAACTTCTGATAACCAAATGAAGTACCATAAAAACAATCTTAATGTGTACACTCCGCATTGACCAAACTCCAGGTTTTCATGCTACATAAAGATAACAATGTGGTTCTCCAGTTGAAGGAGTCTTTATTCCAGTGTGCACTGGCTGCAGGTGCTGGTGGCCTGTGTGTCGGATAGAGCAGACATCAGACCAGTTGTTGTTGACTTGATTTTTGACTCCTGGCAACTCCGTGAGTAGAACTCTGCTCCATAGAGTTCTGTTTTTTTTAAATACTTTATTGTGTTTTTGATGAAAGTTTACACAGCAAATTGGGTTCCCATTGGACAATTTCTTGTTCAGTGACATTAGTTACATTTTCATGCTGTGTCAACATTATCTTTAGTTGTGTTCTGGTTGTTCTGTTTCCAGTGCTCTAGTTTCCCTGCCGCCTTGTCTTCTCATCTTTGCTTTAGAGTCATTGTTGACCCTCTGGTCTTGCATAGGTGGTTTTTTTAAATGGAGCACTGTGTTCAGGGGCAGTATCCTTCACTTTGTGGGCCACTGTGTTACTTTAGAGTCATTGTTGACCCTCTGGTCTTGTATAGATGGTTTTTTTAATGGAGCACTGTGTTCAGGGGCAGTATCCTTCACTTCATGTGCCAGTGTGTTACTTTGCTAAAAAGGTGATCTCAGGAAATTTTGGTTCGAGGAGTAAAGAGTATCTTAGGATGATAGTTTGAGGAAGTGTCCTACTCTCAACTGGCCCAGTAAGTCTAGACTTTTTAAGAATTTGATTTCTATTCCACATTTTTCTTCTGTTTTGTCAGGGCCCATCTACTGTGGCCCTGGTCAGAATGGTCAGTAGTGGTAGTCAGGCATCGTCTAGTTTTTGTGGTCTCAGAGTAGATAGGGCCATGGCTCCTATAGGCTATTAACCCTGTAGACTGATGTTGTCTCTGAGACTCAAAGACTAGAGACCAACAGCTGTATCTTAGATAGCTGCTTGCAGGTTTTTAAGGCCCCAGATGTTTCACCCACTAAGATGCAGGACGTGAACTTGTGAACTCTATCAGGCCAGTTGACTGAGATGTCCCATGGGATCCATAGCCTTTTTGGTGGCTGCTTTTTTGGAAGCAGATTGCTTTGTTCTCACGTGTCCCTGGGTTGAACCTCCAACCTTTCATGGCAGCTGAGTATGTGCATTAACCATTGGCACCACAGTGCTGGGCCTTGGGTTTGAGTGAGTAGGTCTGTGATGGGGGTCTGGTTACATCTTCTGGGGGTAAGAGGCGTGGATGTCCCAAACCTAGTACAGCCCAGGAAGGCTCTTGTGTGGAATAACTTAGAAGGAAGGACTGAGACTGTCAGATACTAAATCAGAGCTTTCTGATTTTTCTGCCTCTTCAGCGGAGATCCTCCAGGCAAATGACCTCCTCACGCAGGGAGTTCTTCTGTACAAACAGGTGATGGAGGGCCGTGTCACCTTTGGGAACACAGTGACCAGCCCAGTGGGAGAGACACCTGTTTCCAGAGGTACATGGAAAGAGCCTCTCCTTGCGCTCTGCTTTGGGGAAGCTTGCCAGTCCCCGAGAAGAAGCTCAGCCTTAGGATATTCTGGAATATGACGTAGAAATGAGAGAACTTGCCTTTTCTCCCTTTCTTTGTGAAAATGGGTTTGAAGGAACAAGCCTGAGCCTTGGGTGCTGTTGTGAGTTGACGGCCAGAGTGGACGACAGCTTTGACTATGCACAGAAGCAGGTGGCCAGGCTGTGCCCGTTTGGATGCTTCTCATAAGGAGTTACTTAGTGGGAGCTGGAGACCCCAGAAATGGTCGTCTTCAGTGTTCCTAGTGCCAGGCTACTTGTATCAGAATCATATGGAACATTTTTTAAAATGCCAAGTCTTAGGCCACTGGTGCTTGGATCTACTGAATCTACAGCCCTTGGGGTTGGGTGTGGGCATCTGCATTTTTTAAACAATTTTTGTGATGTGGGTGAAAGTTTACAGAGCAAATTCATCTTCTATACAGCAGTTCACATACACTTTGTCTCATGCTCTTGACTGTAATCTCCCACAATGCAACAGCTGCCCTCCCACTTCCTCCCCATAGCCACCTCTTCCCCGTGTCCTTCTCTCCCATGCATTCCTGCCCCCCAGCTGTCTCCCTGTGCATACACAGCCCTTCTAGTCTCCCACGAGTGATCTCTCCAAGGAGTGTATCTAGCTAGTGTAAATGTTCAGCTCCTAGGGTTCCTGCTTTTGACTGGCATTTTAGGTGATGAGCTGTGGTCAGAAACCCCATCTGAGCTAGAGAAGAAAGTCAGGTCTCCTACTGTCCAGGTGGCCTGGGCCCTTTGGAGGAGGACTCTGATCTCTGGGGTGGGAACTCGCCTTCTGGTCACCACTGAGGTGGGAACACTGTCCTCTGATGTCTTGGTGGTCAGCTGGGGTGCAGGCTTCTTCTGGGGCCTCGTTGGGGTGGAGGAAAGTGATGTCTTCTGATGGGAGAAGATCTGAGGGAAGGATGGCAAGTGTGAAGGGGAGCCTCTGTTTTCGTGTCTGACTACCTGACCCTCCCAATGCTGTGCATTTTCTAGTCAGTCAGAATCCAGCAGGCTGCGTGAAGAACTGCCCCCTGATTGACTTGGAGGTGGACAGTGGATTTGAGCAGGCCCAGACTCTGGCACCATCTTTACTTCACGAGGACCTAGCAGTCTTAGGTGCGTGTGAGTGTTCAGGGGCAGCAGTCCTGGAACGTCCTGGGTAAGGGGAGATGGTAAGCTGGTTCCCTTTGGGAAAACATGGCTGCTCCTGAGGCACTCGGGTGTACTGGGCAGTTAGTGTACTGCACTTGGCACTGTCATGCCTTGAATGACCTTGAGTAAGTCACTCTGTCTGTGTAGGCTTTAGTGTTGTACATGGTCCAGGGGAGGAGGACGTATTGATCTGCAGCTTCTACATGATATGTAGAGAACTAACGTTATACCCTCCTCTGTTTATTTCTTACAGGGATCAGTGATGCTCCTGTCACAGATAAGGTACGGAAGCTCTTCCTATGGGCCAGGGACAGCCGGGTTGGGGTTAGGTGCTGTCGAGTTGGTTCCAAGCCATAGTGACCCCATGTGCAAAAGAAAAACGCTGCCCACTTCTGTGCCGTCCTCGCAATTGAGCCGGTTCAGACTAGTTCAGTCATGGCCAACAAAGCAAACTCGAAACATCTGAATTTTTAAAATTGGGGTGAAGTGGAATGACAGGCAGAAGGGAAACAAATTACAGGTCAAAGCCCTAGAATGTGGGAGTCTCAGAAGAGGCATAGTGAGCCCTTTTAGGAGCCTGAAGTGGGAGATGGGATTATTGCCAGGACTGTGGAGAGGAAGCATTCCTGGTGGAGCAGTGGGCTGCTCTTGGAGTGGACACCACTATTTCCATCTGTGTTGGTCAGGAGATTGGCTTGCTATGCAGTGTGCACACTACCCTTGTTCTCTGAGGAGGCCCATTGCAGTTTTGTTTTATCTGCCATGACTGAATGGGGAAAACCAGTTTGAAGCCCTGATTTGAGCCCATTGTTGTTGCTACTGTGTCAGTCTGTCTCGTTGAGGGTCTTCTTTATTGCTGACCCTGGACTTTATTGAGCATAGTGTCTTTTTCAGTGATTTGTCCTGCTGATAACATGTCCAGAGTACACGAGATAAAGTCTCAACCATCCTGGCTTCTAAGAAGCATTCTGGCTGTGCTTTGTCCAAGACAGACTCGTCCATTTTTCTGGCAGTCCAGGGTATATTCAGTATTCTTCTCCAGCACCTTAATTCAGAGGCGTCAGCTCTTCTTTGGTCTTCCTTATTCATTGTGCAGCTTTCGCATGCATATGAGGAGATTGAGAATACCATGGCTTGGGGCCCGCATGCATTAGTTCTTAAGGTGACATCTTTGCTCTTTAACACTTTGAAGAGGTCTTTTGCAGCACATTTGTAATACATTGCAATGCATTGTTTGATTTCTTGAGGATGGGGTAGAATTTCTCAAACCTGCCTTCATGAGAGCAGTGCTGGCCAGTGGAGAGGGGTGCTACCACCCTCTCCTGGTGGGATTCCTGGAGCTGCAGTTCCAAAGTCTCTTCCTTACCTGTACTGTGTGGCCTGAATCCCAGGGGGAGCCTCCTGTCTTTCCTCTTAGTGTACCTCTACCCTCACCGGTGTATCCAGGTTCCACTAGAAGTCATCTGTTCTCTTGCCCTTTCTTTCTTCTCCTGCCCTAGGAAGTGTAGTAGGTCCCGGGCTGTAGGAGCACTAACGCCAGCGTTACTGTGGCTGATGGTCATTCCTGCCCTGGCCTTACAAGTCCTTCCTTGTTTGACAGGTTAACCATCAGAACTGCTATAAGGAAAAGAGGAATCCCACTCCGAGCGTACTGCCAGGTGGTGGTGTTCAGAGTCCTTCTGCAGAAAGGAACTTGCTGGATCTCCTCTCCCCACAGCCCTCAGCGGGCCCTCTGTGAGTCTGCTGGACCGGGGGTCTGGCTGTTATGTGCAGTTCCGTCTCATTACAAAGGGTCAGGGAGAAGGGAGGGCTTCCCTAAGACAGCCAGAGACCTGTCATGCTTGAGGCTCTTCCTTCCATTGGGGGTTCAGTATGCTGCTTCCCCTGTTCTCCTTTTACTCCCCATCCTAGGTCCTATGAACGTGCCTGCTTCCAGGACCTCTGAAAGGGGCTTATTTAGGGAGGAGGAAGAGGAGGAGTCATAGGTGACAGTGCTGTTTTGGTGTCTCTTGGTGTTTGGGTTACCTAGTGCCGCTCTAAATCTACTTCTGTAGTGATACCGCCTTGGAAACCCAAGGAGGGGTCGCTATGAGTTGAGTCCGACTCGACGGCACATAATAACAGCAGTGCTGCTCTAACAGAAGCACCTACAATGGGTGGCTTCAACAAACCAGTTTATTCTCTGACAGTTTAGGAGGCTAGAAGTCCGAGGTCAAAGTGCCAAGCTCTAGGGTCTGGGTGAAAGCCCCTCAACCTTGGGCTCTGCCTCTTGTTTCCAGCCCAGTGAAGCTGGAGGCTTCTCTTAACTCGACAACTGCTGGTTGCTGAGGTTGGCAAACCCAAGTTCACAAGAAGGCACAGTCCTGTGGTTATCAAGCAACACGGCAAGCCACTAATTCATGTCTGTGAACAATCCCAGGTTGGCAGCCGACATGGCAGGCCATTGAGATGACCTGTGCCAAAAGCTCAGATATTTCCCAAAGCATCTTATATACTGGAGGCAGGCCCCATCCCTAAGGCAGCTACTCAGCTGCTCTGGCAGATTCCACCATGGAGTTGATTGCCACTCTCATCATGGGGAATAACTACGTGCAGCTGCCAAGCCACTCAACCAGGCCCAGCCAAGTTGACACACAACATCATCACCACAACTGGTTTTCTCTTTCCTGATTTCAAATACACTGTTGCCAACAAGTCACTTCCACCCCACAGGGTCCTAGGCTGTGAATCTTTGCAGGAGCAGGCGGCCACATCTTTCTGCCGTGTAATAGCTGGTGGGTTCAGACTTCTACCCATTCAGTAGCAGCAGAGTGCCTAACCACTGCACCACCAGGGCTCCTTATAATAGAAGTAATGCAAAATTGATCATTAGCATGATATATAAGCCCAAGATACTATTCCCTAAAAACAATGGCAAATGTTCCTTGCTCTCTTTCCCCCTTACACATAGCAATAAATTACTGTGGCTTATTTTTACACAAATTGTAGCACTTTTTTCATATCACATTACATCTTTGATATCCCATTTCCATATCAGTTATATATGTTATATCAGTTATATAAATATGCCTCATTCTTTTTAATAAACCAGACTGACTCCTAGCGACCCTATAGAACAGAGTAGAACCGCCCCATGGGGTTTCCAAGGCTGTAAACCTTTACTGTAGCAGACTGCCTCATCTTTCCCTCGAGGAGTGGCTAATGGGTTTGAACCACACACCTTTAGGTTAGCAGCCGAATACCTTAACCATGGCGCCCCCAGAGCCCCTCTTTCTTTTTAATAGGTATGTAATAATTTACTGTATGGTCATATTTAATCATTTTCCTCTTGTGGATATTTATGTAGTTTCCAGTTTGGGTGCACTTGGGAGCATGTTTTTATTTATTTATTTATTTATTTAATTTTATTTTGATTTGGGTGACGATTTACAGAGTAAATTCACTTTTCATACAGCAGTTCACATATAATACTTTGTCTCATGTCATTGACCAAAATTTACAATGCAACAGCTCCCCTCACACTTCCTCCCCATAGTTACCTCTTCCCAGTGTCCCTCCATACTCTTCTGCACCCTGAGCTATCTCCCTGTGCATAAGCAGCCCTTCCTTCTCCCATGATTGTTCTCTCCAGGGTGTGTGTCTACTTGAGGTAAATGTTTAACTCACTTGCCTGTTCTTTGTTTGGCTGGAAACCACAGGTATGGGTTCAATCCCAGACCTGAAGGGCAGCTAGGGGCCATAGTCTCAGTGGTTTCACCAGGCTCTATTGGACCAGCAAACCTGGTCCCCACCTTCTTTTTTTTTTTTTTTGCCTCCAAATGATTTTGAGTTTTGTTCCACATTGTTCTCCCTCTCTATGCAGGATCTCGTACATCCCTTCCAAGTGGATGACAGTGGTAGCCGGGCACCATCTAGTTCTTCTGGTCTCATAGTTGTATAGGTTGCAGATCAGATGGTGTACCAGTCGCTAGGACTGATTGTTTCCATTCATTTGGTTTTCTTCTTACTTCTTGACAAGGAGACACCCCTTGTTGCATCTAGATGGCAGCTTGCTAGCTTTTAAGATCCCAGTCGCTACTCGCCAAAGTAGGAGGTGGAACAATGTTTTGTATAGTATGTTAGGGAGCATGTTTTTAAAGAACAGATTCCTAAAAGTCGAGGTACTTGGAGGTTGGGTATTGAGTCGTTTTCACAGATCCCATCTCTTTGCCTTTGGAAAAATTGTGACAGTTTGTCTTCTCCTGAATAGCCTGCAAGTGCCTGCTCCTGAGTGGGACCCCAGGGCTCTGGTGGAAATGAAGTCGGGCTGAGAGGTCACTCCTGTTGCATTCAGAGTGTTTCATTTGGTTTTGCTCTTTCCAGGCACTGAGGGGGGCCAGTAATCATTCTCATTTGAGTGGCTTTTTTCTTCCTCTCTGGACTTTAGTCTTCCAAAAAATGTTTTCTGTTTGTGTTGCGTATACACAGAATCAGGAGGCTGTATGGAGTGCTTGGTGTAACTTACGTATCATCTGGGTAGTTCATTCACTCTAGTGTGACCTTAGATGACACATGGGAAACTGAACCTGACAGTGCTACTCGTGTCAGGAACTGCCCAACAACCACAACATTAAGAAACTTAATAGGAGTTCTAGTTTATTGGGTCCTTATTCTGGTGGACAGTCAGTTAAATGCTTCCCAAGCATTGTCTTATTTCATTCTTGTAACATAACCACCCTATGAGGTAGATAATTCTGTTAGCCCCGATTAAAGTTGTGGAAACTGAGTCATAGAGAGAGAGAGATTACTTGCTTAAAGTCATACCTCCCTATACATACATACA